AATTGGTAATTCTTGCACAAATACTCCAACAAAAGCATATCATCAACCTGATTATGCCCACTGCAGGGCAAAGGCCTCTCCAGTATTCCACTGATCAACTTGGTCCTGAGCATTCTGCTCTACATTATACCTGCAAACTTCTTAATCTCATCTGCCCATCTAATTTTCTGTCTTCCACTCACGCTATCGCCTTTTCTTGGAATCCAGTCAGTTACCCTTAATAACCAGCAGTTATGCTGCCTATGCGCTATGTGCCCCACCGACGTCCATTTCTTCTTGATTTCAACTATGAGATCCTTAACCCTCATTTGTTCCCAGTCCACTCTGCTCTCTTCCTGTCTCTTAAAGTTACGCCTATCATTTTTCTTTTAATCGCTCGCTACATCATTCTCAATTTAAGTTAAACCCTTTTTGTAAGGTTCCAGGTTTCTGCTCCATTAATAAGCACCGGTAGGATGCAGCTGTTATACACCTTTCTCTTGAGAGATGGTGGTAGACTACCATTCATGATTTGAGGATGATTGCCAAATGTGCTTTACTCCGTACTTATTCTTCTAGTTATTTCACTCTTATTGTTGGCTATGCGGTTATTAATTGTCCCTAAGTAGGCTTATTCCTTCATAACTTCCACCCCTCCGTGGTGGTCTAGGGGTTATGGCACTCGACTGCTAACCGAAGGTCGGGAAATCGAATCCCAGATGTGGCGGCTACATTTTCGATGGAGGTGAGAATGTTTGAGGCCCATGTAGTTAGACTTAGTTACACGGTAAAGAATCCGAGGTGGTCGAAAATTCTGGAGCCCTCTCTTACGGCGTCTCTCATAATCATATTGTGGTTTTTAGACAGTAAACCCAAGATATTATTATTATTACCCTTTACAACTTCCAGTGTCTTGACACCTATCACAAAACGCTGTTATGTGAAGACTTTTGCACATTGCATTAGTTTTATGCAAATTAGTTTTCAGACCAGCACTTCTGCTTTCCATGTCCAGTTGAGTATTCATGAGTTGTAATTCACTCCCTGACTTATCAATGCAGTGTCGTAAGCAAATCACAGGTTACTAAGATACTCTCTATCAAGTTTTATTCCTTACTCTTCTCAATGAAGGGCCCTCAAAGCCTCCTGTAAATGCACTATCAATAGCACTGGTGATCATTTCTCCCTTCCCTGCTTTACACCCTTCTTTACTAGAATTCTGTAGCTTTTTTTATGAAGGACTATGGTGGCTGTGGATCTGCTGTAGATTTCTTGCATTATGTTTATGTGATTTCGCAATGGCTGCTGACATCTCGACTGAATAAAATTTCTTCTCGTGATCTATGAAGGTGATGCATAGAGGCTGGTTGTATTTCGTGCATTTCTATATCATTTGATTGATAATATGAATATTGTCTATTGTTGAGTAGCCTGTACGAAATCGTGCTTGGTCTTTTGGTTGATTGAACTACAATGTTTTCTTAATTTAAATAAACAGTAAGCTGATTGGCCTGTAATTTTCTGAGTCCTTGATGACTCCTTTCTTGTGCATTAAGATGGTGTTGGCATTCTTGTAAGTTTCTGGTATCCTACCCATCAAGAGATATTTCATATACTTCCCTCATGAATACACCAAAAGCATGTATTCATGCAATAATGGCAGTTGGTTTGGGAATGAAGTTTTTTGGCAGTCACATTTGTCTGCTGATCTGCTGTCATCTTCTAAAGTAGCACCCCGACCACTGTGTCGCAAGCAAATTGTTTCATCCCTGTATTCATAGACATGGACTACCTCGTCGAGACAGAGCCCTTTTATACGAGCTAAAAGTTGGCTGTGTGTTAGGTTGCGAACGATTATACCATCAAGGACATGTAGACAGTCCCTTGTATATGCTGTATGGTTCGTGTGAGGCACTATAACACCTAATTTTAAAAATGCCCTGCTTTTGCTATGCAACGAGCACTGCTCATAAAAAAATATGGAATTATGGGACCCATTTGCACGACCATTCATGAGTGCCTGTTTCTGGGAGGATGTGCTGCTCTGCGTGACCAGGCCCACAAAGCCTTATTAATGTTCTTAAGCAAAACCAACTTAACCCTGCGTTTGTGTACATTTTTTTATGTTACTACTTGTTTGTGTTTACTTCCATGTTTTTTGTTTTTTTCCTGTTTTTTTTTCTCCTGCCTTTCTTTTCTCTGTTTTTTTCCCTTCCCAAGGAAGCAGGCAGGCATTTGTGCTCCCATAGGTTGCAGTTGTCAGCCTGTGCCTCCCCCCTAATTCCTCTGTGTCTTCGTGTTTTCTGTGTATCTAAATCAAATAATAATAGTAATTGGTATTTTCCTCTGCACGGGAAGTCTGCAGTGTCACTGGTGGCTTGACCTAAAGAGTTTATTGCAGCACAGTGGTTATGGCGCTTGGCTTCTGACCTAAATAATGCGGGTCAGATCCCAGCAGCAGTGATTGTATTTCAATGGAAGTGAAATGCTAGAGGCATGTGTACTGCGAAATGTCAGTACACATCTCAAGTGGCTGATATTATCTTGAGACTTTCACTATGGCACCTTTCATAGCATGAGTCACTTTGAGATGTTAAGCCCCATAATTCAGCTAACTTGTGCTATCATATTGTTTACAGGAATAATTAAGTTGGCTTTTACAGCGAAAGCTGTTATGAGATCAAAACTCGGCTCACATGCGGTGCCGTAGTTGTCCGCCGCCACCGGTGTCCGTAACCACTACCGCAAAAATTAGAAATAAAACCAAGGACACAGTGGGGCTTGAACCCGGGTCTGCTGCATGCCAGCCCAGTATTTTACCACTGAGCTGCGCTGGTGCTTGGTACTTGTTCGCAAACTTGCCCTAGGCAGGCTTGGTGTCGGGAAAGCAATCGTGTTAATATCACTAATGAAGCGTTTTAGAACAGCAAAAGAACAATCAGGCGTCACACAATGCTATACTCGGGGACAACTTTCTGTGGCAATGAAGGGAAAGCTACGGAGCCAAAGGTGGGCACGTGCCACCGCTGTAGAATGTAGTGCCAGAAATGCGTCCGTCTTTTGCGCGTGGAACTAATAAAAAAGAACATTATTTTCTACTAGATGCTGTTTATGAAGAGACACAGCATGCACCAAAGAGATATTCATATTTGTTGTTGCCTTCTGATAACTCATTTGGCGTTTTTGCGCGTCTGAAAGCGTCGCACGTTTTACATGCACCTCACAGTTAATATGGCGTCTTCGTTTTTAGGTGAGCGCGCGTTGCCCTCCAGCTATTCTGACGACTCGCCGAAGGAGCTTGTGCCAAATTTCACTCCAAAATGGCTCCGTATGCAGACGTATGAAATTGAGTGCAGTGAAATTACTTGAACAAAGCCGTCATTCGAGGCGTGAGCTGCACCGGACTACTTCGCGGAGGAGTACAGGAGCAGTAGCTCCACCCCTGTAGCTTTCCCTTCATTGCCACAGAAAGTTGTCCCCGAACGAGTGGGTCGTCTAATGCTCCAACCCATTACAAAAGCTTGACCACCTATTAACTGTGGTGCATATTCACTTCAGGCATAATTCCTTATCGTCGTCAGCCACTGCATGAACAATTGGCACAAAATTTCTTGCAAGTGTTTAGCAGATACCATGCTTCTGAGGAGAATGACGAAGGATAGCATAGCGAATTCCGGCCTACTACCCAGAAATTATTATTATTAATGCCGTAGTGGGTACTCAGCAAGCGTGCTTGCAGCAGTTACTTAATGAGTGTTTAGAAAAGGCTCTGAAAGGCCGCTCTTCTAGCTTTCGCTGTGACTGTGCTGCACCTTCCGCACAGGCCTGGCATTTTTTTTTTACCTGCACCGTTAAGAACAAGGACTTTCGGCATTAATTATTTCTTGCCCATCTACTTATACTAATTTGAGTAAAAGTAAGCTTAATTTAGTTAGACATAGTCCCCTGAATTCTTGCTGTTTCTTTTTTGTTATATTCTGTAACTGCATGATGTGTCACATCTGCTTTGATGAATTACGTAAAGGAGTAGTGGAAATCTACATGGAGTGGCAGTGTGAACTTTTTCTCGTGATATCTTTTAATATTTCTGCAGTCGAGTTCAAAACTTAAGAAGGGCCCAGATAACTGAAGCACGGCAACCGATTGCCTCCGTGACCAAGAGAAATATTCCCGCTCGGCCATAGTGTTCAAAGGCAGGGTAACTGGCTGTCCAGCTCATGGCATTAGGCTGGAGTGAACTGCCGCTGGTGCAGGCTTCTGTGCATCTGTTTTTGAGGTGACCATGGCACTGATTTCTTAAGTTATAATCGACTATAAGGGGGTCCGGTTTTATAGGAGTACTGACATGAAAATTTTAAGTTGTGTGTTTTTTTTTTGTCGAATCTAAGGCATCGCCCTTAGAAGCCTAGAAAATGTACTGGTAAGCATGAGTGCACCCTGAAAAAGTAATTACAGTGAATTTTTTAAAGCCAGTTTCGGTTCCCGCTGTACCCTTACATTACAACGTGATACAAGCTTCTCATGACTCGCTCGGGCAATATATTTTGACGATTCCATGGCCACTCCGCACCACGGCTTTTCTGGTGACACACAAGTGGCCATTTTTTAATGTTTTGGTGATGTACAAGTGATTTCAGAAGTTTTACTGCCTGGTGTCATCAAAACTATCCAGACTACTGCGTGAGTCGCCAGATTAGTACTATAGCCCGACGTCAAGCTAGTGTCGATATAGGTATAGGCACCACGGGAAAATTGATTCTATTATCAAAATAAAATATCTTACGAGCATTTGCTTAGCCTCACGCTTGCTCAAAGCTATCTCCGTATGCAGCAGATTTGTATGACAGTGTAAACACACCTCCAAAAGTTGATGCAGTACCCTTTTAATTAATGCAGTCAAATTTATGATGAAAAGTTTTCATGAACGATTTTATAACCTATTTCTTTGTAAGGTATTTGTCACAAATTAATTTATTGTTTATTTGATTCAGTACATATCTTTTCAAAATGTTTTTGTGCAGATCCATGACAATGTTGAGAGGCTCTTCACGAAGTTTATTACTCAAGGAAAAGCTACTATTCAACTACGAGAACCGCCGCACAACTTGATCATTAGTAAGGTAGGCAGTAGTTAGTAACTCTGTCGTTGGTAACACGCTTTGTTTTTCGAATTTATCAGTTTGATATCAGTCTTTGTGTGCTACATTTTGTTGTGCACATGTGAATATGTTTGAATGTGCTTGGTGTGTTCTTTAAATACATAGGTTCAAAAGAACTGCGCATTCTGACGACAAAGAAGACACCTAGCGCTGGGTGTGTCTTCTTCGTCGGTTTTTTTTTTTTTTTTTTTTCGCAGTCCTCTTGAAGTTATAAATTCTCAACCTGCCCTAAATGCTGCTGTCATATGTTCATTCCGGGATAGGGTTCCTGAGAGAGAAAAAAAGTCTTCAGAAATAAACTGTGCGGTGTGGCGGTCAGTCATTTTGATAAAATGGCACTAATAATAGTTACTTAATGCAAACTCACATTAACTTTTAGATTAATTTATAGCACATATTACAGTGGACAAATTGTAACCTAGGTGTCTGCTTCACTCGACAACAACTTGAGAGTGGAGTAAAGGCTGTGGTGGCGGGGCTTCTACACATATGTGTTGCTCCGCAAGTGGTATGGGCAGCTTGTGGCTGATTTTGGTTTTGCTTTCTCACATTGCTGATGCATTTAGAAAAACATATACAATATACAAAAATGTTAAAATTAGAAACATTGCAATTCTTCATTGCCATTCAGTGTGATATTAAGACTGCCTTTTTCTTGGAGAACCAAACAGAACATTTGCTGCCACTTACTGACCCAGTACATCACGGACACCATGTTTACTTTGGAAATCTGGCATGGAAATGGAAAAAAAAAAAAAAAAGGAAGGCATTCTTGCAAATTGAACAATAGCTGTATTTTTTCTACTACTTCCCACAAGTGTTGCAGTCTCATAATAAATAAAACAGTACTTATTTCAGCATCGCAAATTAGAAAATTATCAGTAAACTTAAGTACTATTTTTTAGTGTAGTAGTAGGCATGCATTTCAGTTTTGTAGCTTCCACATTGTACTGTTAAGAAAAGTCACCAAGTTGGCCGTATCCACTTTGAACAAATGTCCAGGATGGCACAAATTTTAAGTTATTCATTCCTAAGTTGTGCTATGAAATACATGGTCATTCTAGTTACTTTTGTGCTAATTACAATGCCTAAAACAATGTGCTACTCTTACATATCAGTTTAAGTATATGTGCCTTGCAAACTCACTGGCTACAATACATCATATATCACATTTGCCTTATGGCATGTACTTAAATAATTGATAGTTGACTACAACTAATTTAACTAAACTTGTTGATAAAATTCTGATTAGTGATTCTAAATAACTACACATCACTAGGTTTTGGATATTTATGAGTGCCTACCACACTTAGAAAGCAGGTACAAAAAAATTGGAGGTTCCTGTTACTGTAAGCCAGGAAAATTATCACTTTTTTTCTACAGCTTGATGTGCGTGTATGCAGAACAGAGTGTTTAGTGGTTGTATATTTCTGCTCTTTCTCAACACAGGCTGATATTTCGGAGCTACGCCGGTTTCTGAATTTAATAAATCTTGCCCACCATGGTAAGCACCTTGAGCAGTCTGCTTTTTCAGGACCACCATCAAAGGTCACTCCTACAAAAGAAATATTAGTTGTACGTCATCGGAAAGACTACCCATCTGGTGGATTTCCAAAAACATTAAAGAGGCTGACAATTGAGGTAAGTTTGAGTTATTGTACATTTATTTGTTCAAGTTGTGCAGTGGAATGAAACTGGTTATAAGAGGGTATCGGATATCACAACGAGAAGCCGCTGCATACTATATTTTAGTGTGTCCTCAATGGAGAAATAAATTAGTTACTACAGTAGGCTGTTATTAAAGGGCCAGTCAACACTCTCCGACTTTTTTTTTACACCCATCAAACAAGCTCGACAAATCGTAGAGTAGGCCGCAATGATCACATTTTCTGAATATTACAGCGATACGCGTTGCACAAAGCCTTCTTTTTGAAAAACCATTCCCGCGCATTTTTCCTGCGCCTAACCAACGCCTTTCCACACGTAGTGACGTCAACTAGGAGGCCGGCAACGTGACGTAGCTCATCGATTGGTCTGAACCAGGTCTCAACAAACATTAGTGTAGTCAACATTTCCTGTTCCCACAGTATCCCCCCACAGCTACCACAGAGTTATTCAGTCATACGAGTTGCGAAACTTCTTGCAGTCTCCGTGTATCGAAATCCAAACATGCTACTGGCCCAGTTTTGGGGAGTGAGCAGATTGTTGTGTTACTTGTTGACCAGCACACCCACTATTAAACGCATTATTTCGGTTTTGTGTTGCTGCTCCCAGATGGCCCGACAGTTTGCTGACTCCCTGAAAATCAGGGCAACTGCATGTCCAGGTTTTGGAAGGCAGTTTCACTATAAATCGTTGTCGGCTGCAAATCGAGTGACTGGGCTGTGGAGGAGCATCGGTAGCGGGTGAACAGTAAACAGCCAGGCGTCTCGGCAAGCGGAAGTGCGTTGCGATTGATTGAGTATGCTGATGACGTCAATTGCTGATGTCGTGTCACGTTGCCGAAGAGGGTGGAGTTGTGACAATAGGCTATGCCTTCCCCTTTCTCTGGGGTAGAAAGGTGGCGAGACCGTGCGAAAATTTGAAACCGGCTGAAACTGATGTTTGAACCCCGGTAACTTGCTTAATATAGCATGTAATCGCAAAATTCTTGCTGCAGCATGTTCACAAAGTAAAAGTGCATATATACCTCTTTATAACAATTTTTGATTGATTGGTATGTGGGGTTTACTGTCCCAAAACCACCATATGATTATCAGAGACTCCGTATTGGAGGGCTCCGGAAATTTCGACCACCTGGGGTTCTTTAACGTGCCCCCAAATCTGAGCACACGGGCCTACAACATTTCCGCCTCCATCGGAAATAAATGCAGCCGCCGCAGCCGGAATTCGATCCCGCGACCTGCGGGTCAGCAGCCGAGTACCTTAGCCACTAGACGACTGCGGCGGGGCCATAACAATTTTTAGACCTTGGGGTTGTTTACTGGCCCTTTAAATGGAACCTGAAGGCACCAGTAAAATGTGTTCCGTTTAAGAGTTCCGTTTACTGAGAGATGAACAGGAGCACACAATGCAAGAACAAAACCAATCTTGTCAGAAGCATTTCTTCCATTTAAGCAGCAGTTCCGTTTAACAGATTTTCATTTACTGAGAGTCTACTGTATACAATGTTCCAGTTCTACATTATTGACTGTAGCAAATAAGTCTAACTCATTGCTTTTATTCAAGTTCTTCAGTAATAACTATACCCATGCTGTTAAAAAGTCCCTAGCTTTTGTTTCTAACATTCAAGGAAATCTGGGAAAACTAATCATAGATATGTGGAATGATATCAAGTTCATTATGTGTCGCGTTCACGGAAAATCATATGAACAATGGAAACACGTTGGCGCTTCTGACAAATACTTTCTCCATGGTTTGTCATCCAAGATAGCTTTTTCATATGCCTTGCACAAGCATATCTCATATTTGTGTTGTTCAAGAGTGTGAGTGTATGAGTCCAGATTAAAATTCTTTCTCGCTTTTTTCAGAATGGTATTGCATAAATAAAAGCTTGTCTCTCGGTTGGACCAATCCTATTTTCATTTTAGTATGCGCAACTGTCAATAGCTGGTCCTGGCGTCTGAAGGCCTGTTGTGAAACGGCTTCACTGTGTTGCTTGTCTGCCCCTTACCTCCCACGGTCATCACTATTTTAAAAAAAGAATCAGGCATTGTCATGGTGCTTGACTAGCAGCGGATCTCCATCTCCCAAGCAACTGGGCATGTGTGCAGCACGGTCAATGCGATACCTGGAAGAGCAGCCTTTCAGAGCCTTTTGTAAACACTTTTTGGGTAACTGCTACAAACAGACTTGCAGGGTATCCTTTATGCCATTAATCATAATTTTTGTGTAGTAGGGACGCATTCACTATGCCACCCTTCACCATTTTTTGGAAAAGTGTAGTACCCGCTACACACTTTCAAAGAATTTTGTGCAAATTTTTTATGCTGTAGCTGTCGGCGATACAGAATTATGCCTGAAGCTTCTGTTGGAGGGTTGGAGCATTCGACGGCTTCTCGTTATGCCATTCGCATTCGCATTGCGTGGCGCCTGGTTGTTCTTTTGCTGTTCTAAAACGCTTTGGTACTCATAACAATGCCATTCCTTTCCCGACATCAAGTCTGCCTAAGGTCAGTTTGCAACGCAGTTGCTAGCACTGACATGGCTCTGTGGTAGATTATTGGACTGACACACAGGGGACCAGGGTTTAAATCTCATCGTGTCCTTGGTGTTTTTATTTTTTACTTTTTTCTTATTTTGCGCTATAGTGATTACGAACACCAGCTGTGGCAGTGGACAACTATGGTGCATGCAATCCTTGTTGTGATTGCATAACAGCTTTCGCTGTAAAACAATTGCCTGCAAGCACAGTGTGAAAGATCTAGCTGCTGTGCAGAGTGGCCTTAGACAGAGAGAAGGGAGTGTCATGGGAGGTTGTCATGCTGAGCCTAGCTAAGTGACATGTTTCTCCAACTTTTTTACGGTGAGGCTACTTCTTTTAAACCCTGCGTGCATCCCCTGCATGCATTCTCGGGGGACATAGCATGGGGACAAGAATGAAAACGAATGCAGTCAAACTCGACTATATATTGAACTTGGGGAAATCGAGTTGTCGTTTATTGAACTATATTTGAGGATTACAATCACGGAGGAAGAAAAAGATGACAGGGAGTATTACGTCACATGAGTGGAGCCCACCGTGTCAGCCCAACACGTGATCAAAACGTCAGAGCGTGCGGTAGGTTTTAGTACTCTCAGCGCTGTTCCGTCAGTGAACTTAATTGGGCCAGTTAGTTCTGCATGGAAACAATGTGGACGCGCTTTGAAGACGTGAACCAGGAATTGACAGTGCATACCTGTCTTTTTCTTGTCCGCGTCTTAAAGCGCACCCACATCGTCGACATGCAGAAGAGTCACTCGATTCATTGTCAAGTTGTTCAATTCAGCTTTTTGACTAAAACTGGAAACCTTCCTCCTGTTGAACCCCGAACATATTTGTGTTTTCGTCTAAGCATACAACCTCAGGATAAAACGCTTATTTCTACGCCTGTGTCATACCGGACACTTTTTAAAGAGATCAGCGGCAATCGGAATCGCTCACGATCCGAAGTGATCATGTGACTGAGGAATTATAAAATGTACTGATGTGATGACGTCAACTGCGGCTGCAGGGTCACGCGAACTATTATGATTTACTCACGATGTAAGCTATTCATGAATCAAACTTTCAAGTTCAACCTACCTAAATTTACAGTCCATGTTCACACCCGAAAGATACATTAGCTAGAGGCGGTGGCTATTCAAACAGTTCTTTTGAATAAGCTTGTTACCATCTGCTCTTTTTATATACCTCCACACCACTGTCTTGAAAAACATGAATTCCAGTCATTCATAGACGAAAATTCAGAACCCTATCTTGTCCTAGGAGACTTCAATGCACATAGTAGCCTCTGGGGTGACTTTCACTGTGGTGCACGAGGTTGCCTGGTTGAACAGTTCCTTCTCTCCTCCAGCTATGCCTCCTGAAGCCAACCTATTACAACATCGCTAACAATACGCACTCAACAATAGACCTCAGCATAACATCTCCATCACTCCTGCCTCTACTTAAATGAGAATTCATTGATGATTCATATGGAAGTGACAATTTCCTATAGTTCGCATCACATCAATAGCAAGTGCATGTCTTCCACAGGTTTCCAAGTGGCGGACCGATAGAGCCGACGGGGAACAGTTTCAAAAAATTACTCTCTTACCTTAGACGGAGATAGGGATGTTAAGCATAGAGGCTGCTGTGGGCTACTTTACAGCTTTCTTGATTTATGCTGCTACAAGATGTATTCCACAAACATGTGGACCGTCAGGCAAAAGACGAGTCCCATGGTGGCATAATGCTGAATACGAACAGGTAATACAAACGGGCTCGCCGAATACGAACGGGTATGCGTGATCAACCGCTGGGATGACGCTGGCGACGCCGCTCAAATAAAATGACACGTAGCTGAGCTTCGCAGCGTCATCCCAGCGGTTGATCACGCTTACCCGTTTGTATTCGGCGAACCAGTCTTCAACATCCTCCTCTTCTGTACCTCTCAAGATTGGTGGGTCGTGTTGACGCGATGGGCCAGGGCAGACCAATGTGGGCACCAGGACAGCAGGTTGTTGGTGCAGTTTATTCGATACTTCATCTGGCATTGTAGAGGCTGGCTTGAGTTTCAGGCTGCAAAGTTTCAGGTTATCGCTACCCCGCACCTCCACCACTTGTTACGGTGGTTTATTGAGCTACACAGCAACCGGAAAGATAGCAGCAGCAGCAGCAGGCAAAGCGTAGCCAGGGAGCGAACAGCCGAGCGAGCCAGGCGATGGCAATGCACTTCCGCATGTGTCCATCTTCTTCCTCACAAGTGCCGTAATGCACACAAAAAACAAAATAAGGCATGGAAGTTACTTCGAGACTCACTGACAGCTGAGAATCTTATGAACTTTAAGAACATTAAGTCGCAAGGAAGGAGAATGCGCCGATAAGCAAGAAGGGAAAGCTGGCATAAATTTTTATCAAGCATTAATTCTTACACAGATGAGGGGAGAGTCTGGAACAT